GGGTTTGGGGGTTCGGGGTTTTAGGGTTTAGGGGTCTAGGGTTTAGGGGTTTAGGGTTTGGAGGGTTGGGGGGTTTAGGGGTTTAGGGTTTAGGATCTCATTTCCTTGGTTGGCCTCCTTCCTAGAAGGGAGAATATGCGGAGACCCTCAAGCGATGTGCTATTTTTATAAGCCCGTTGAAGGAAACACCTGGATCCTATATCACCCGCAGCAGGAGAAACCTTCATTGCGGAGAGATTCAAGACAACCCTCAACCATTTGTTGAGTAACTGAACCCTCTCGAACCTCGTTACTAAGACACAACATACTACTAATATTGCTACTTTTTGCTATGATTATTATCATTACGATATTCCTCTGATAAATATCATTGCTATGCGTACTAGAACTATTTGTATTTCTATATGTTTTCCATGATTACAAGGATTGCTGTTGTTACCAGCGAGACTCTAACTGCGTGTATGAATATGTTTTAACTACTGGGAAATACTTTGCTTTCATTGATTTTCGTTACTGCTACGTTAATATGTTCTTCGCTATCGATTGGTGCTGTTGTTGTTGGCGCTGCGGCTGTTGCTGTTCTTGCTGTTGCTATTATCATCCTTAGCTTGCTCACTGTTAGCTGTTACATTTGTTATAACTATCATAATGGCCACTACAATGGCTCTATTCTCGTTCCCAGCGTAAAGTTGCACTTGCACTTGAAGAGACAATCAAAACTATACATGTTAGGTATAGATGTAATGAAATTATCACTATGGTTCATTAGTATCATCCTTGTTACTACGAACACGGTTTGTGAGTATAATTGGTACTGTGGTTATGATTGTTGTTGTTATGCCTACATGGGTAGTTCTCTAACTTAGGGTCCCTCTTTAGGGCCCCAGTATAGTACGGCACCCTTACATGAAGGACCTAAAAGGGACCTTAATTTAGAGAACTACCCACATGCGCATGTTACGACGCCGGAAACCCTAAACCCTAAACCCCAAACTGCGAACCCTGAAGTCCTTCACGTTCTCAAAAGCCGGAGGAGTGCCTCGCGCTAAACTCACGGGGCTTAGGCCTTGGCAAGGGCTCTTCGAACTCAGAAAAGTTGCACACAAGTCTGATAGCTTTTGGGGGGTGAATATAGGGGCCTTAATATTTAAAATAGGGTTTTGGGGCCCATTATACCATAATTATAAGAAGGAGCCGGCTTTAAGTCCGGAAGGCCTTAAAGCTGCAGGGTTTGGGGCTTTTGGAGTCTAGGGGTTTCAGGGCTTCGTGGGTTCCAGGGCTTGAAGCTTTTATGGCTTAGGGTCTAGGGTTCCAGGGTTTAGGGTTTTGGGGTTTAGGGTTTGGGGTTTACGGTTCAGAGCTTACCTGGCTAGCGCAAGGGATTGGAACTGGTGCAGTGGGGTTGCGAAACTGTCTGTGCCTGTGTATGTGTGACAGACTTCGAAACTGCTTTACGCGGAGATTGGTGTTGTTCAAATTGGGCCTCCCTCTCAATTACGCATAGAAAAAACTGCAATAAAGATCCGGACAACTTGGAGGTTCCGTCTCAGATTCCTAGGACGCATACCGAAACTTGCAACAAAGATCCGGCAAGGGATCGCAATTGGTCAGAAGGCGTCACCGGGGGATTTGCTGACTACTACTACTACTACTGCTGCTACTGCTACTGCTACTGCTACTGCTACTGCTACTCCTACTCCTACTCCTACTGCTACTCCTACTCCTACTGCTACTCC